AAGAGGAGCATATATTGTCATTTGTTTAGACAAATACAGAAGATTTACAGAAATTATTATTATTATACTATTATTTATTTATTTATCCAAGTCATCCCAGCTCAGGAGTGGAAAGGGAAACGATGCATGTCTTTCAGCACAGGGGTCCCCAATCCCTGGGCCGTGGACCAGTACCGGACCGTGGGTCGTTTGGTACCAGGTCACGAAAGCGCAAACCCCCTCCTCCCATATGCCGTGTGGACCGTGCCTCCTCATGTACGTCGACTAAGGACTAAACCAGGTGTAAACCAGGACTAAACCAGAACAAAAGTGGGACTGAATCAGGACAAAACAAGGTCTAAAACAGGGCTAAACCAGGACTAAACCAGGTTTAAACCGGGACTAAAACAGGACTAAATGAGGAAAAAACAAGGTCTAAAACAGGTCTAAAACAGGTCTAAACCAGGACTAAATCAGGATTAAAACAGGTCTAAAACAGGTCTAAACCAGGACTAAATCAGGACTAAACCTTGTCTAAAACAGGTCTAAATCAGGACTAAACAAAGTCTAAACTAGGACTAAACAGGACTAAATCAGGCCTAAAACAAGTCTTAAACAGGTCTGAAACCAGGACTAAATAAGGACCAAACCAGGACTAAACCAGGAGTAAATCCGGTCTAAAACAGGTCTAAAACCTAAACCAGGACTAAAACAGGATTTAACCAGGTCTAAAACAGGTCTAAACCAGGACTAAATCAGGACTAAACCAGGTCTAAAACAGGTCTAAACCAGGACTAAACCGGGATTAAATCAGGACTAAACCACATCTAAAACAGATCTAAAAGACATCTAGAACAGGTCTAAAACCAAAACCAGGACTAAAACAGGATTTAACCAGGACTTAACCATGCCGTAAACCGCGCCTCCTCCCATACACCACCACCCCACCCCCACCACCTGGTCCATGAAATATTGTCGGATATAAAACTGGTTTGTGGCACAAAAAGGTTGCAATGAATCGAGAAGTAGTGAAGTACTGAAATAGCAGATTAGTTGGTTTGTAATATTGATTTGATATATGCAACTGTTTGTATTAAAGTGAGCATCAATAATTAAAGTCCATAGAATTATCCCCACACACTAATAATACTAATGCACTAGAATAATACTGCGCCTTTCAAAACACAGTGCACAAAAACACACAGAGCCCTTTACATTCCATTATCTACTCTCTCCACACTTGGTAGTGGGTGGTAAGCTTTTATCGTTACTTTACAGCTCATTTCATCAACATTCCCTGGGGACATGATGCTAACTGTAGGCACTGCTCCGTCTTAGATTTCGTTACACTTTAATCTGAGTTTTAAATCCAAATCCACTTTATTTATATAGGACATACAAACAAAGTAGTTTCCGAAAGTGTTGCACAGAGAAAATAAAACGAAGACAACAGAAAGGTCAATTGCTAAAATTTGTCATACTAGTCCTAAACAGTGTTGGGGAGTAACAGATTACATGTACCGGAGTTACGTAATCAGAGTACAAATTATGAGTAACTGTATTCAGTTACAGTTACTGTTTCCATGAGTAGTAACTGGATTACAGTTACTTTGTTGAAATAAATGGATTACATGGCGGTATTTTCCTGTTTTCACATTTTGGGCTAAACCAGGATTAAAACCAGGACTAAATTCGGACTTAAACCAGGTTTAAACCAGGACTAAACAATATGATACTTAAAGCAGAAGTGATCTCATATAAAAATAATTTCTCTATCAATAATATTTTTAATATGTTAAGTAAAGTCTGCGCTTTTTATTGTCTTTAAGCAGATAAAACATTATATGTTAAGATTTCTTAGTCTTTGTTACTCTACATTAAACATGGTTCTTGGAGACTTTGGCTCAACAGACAATTTGAAAAGAACAAACAAGATTTTTCAGGATGTGGTTGCTACATTCATGTAGTTTTAAAAAGCATGACAATATCAAGTAATCCAAAGTATTCAGATTACGTTACTCACTTTAAGTAATTTAACGGATTATGTTACAAACTACATTTTGGGGTGTGTAATCTGTAATCTGTAGGGGAATACATTTTAAAAGTAACCTTCCCAACACTGGTCCTAAAACAATAAAACCAATTAAAAAAATAAAAGCAAAACCATAAAAATCATAAAATAGCAATAAATAAGTAAAATAAATAAATAAAAGACAGAGGAACACACAACTCGCACAGTATTAAAAGCCGAAGAATAAAAGTGGGTCTTAAGACAAGACTTAAAACACTCCACTGTGGGGGGGCAGAGCAACCCAGATCTTAGGACCGACCACAGAGAAAGCCCGGTCCTCCTGATTTTAAGTCTTGTCTTAGGCACCACGAGCTGGAGTTGCCTCGGACCTCAGAATGCGCACAGGGGTATAAATTTTGTATGAGGTCTGAGGTGTACTCTGGGGTCAGTCCATTCAAAGCTTTAAAAACAAACAATTAAATTTTAAAATCAACTCTAAACACAATCTGACCATAAAGAACTGTCTTAACTAGAACACCTCAGATGATTTGTGCTGGTAAACAAGTCCCCCTAGTCACTCTCACCTTTTTTGTTGAACATATTGATATATATTGATCACAGAAGTTTTCAGATTTTTTGGTAGTGCAGTGTGTGCATTGTGTCATCACCCCCCCTTTCCCGTATCGAGACCAACTAGTGGCTGCTCCATCGGTACTGCAGCTTCCGAGAGTTTGGGACCAGAAAGAATTTTCCCACAGAGCGAATGGCATTTTTTGGGAATTAATTTGAATTTCACAAAGGTAGAATTTTGTAGGGATTCTTTTCTATTTTCACAACATGAGCTTATTTAAATGTTTAAATCTTCAAAGCGCCAAAAATTTTGCTTTGTAAGAGTTAGTGTAGTTCTGCTCTGAGCCCGGTCTAGCTCCACTTTTGCACTTTTCATTCTGACTGGCCCAAACGCTCTAGCCCCTAGTGAGGAAGTAAATGCAGAAGTGAACTTTTTTGGGGGGGCCCACTGAAAACAATACGACGCCATTTTGGATTCATCCTCCAGATTTTACTATACTTCTATAGGCTGACAAATGCAAGGCTGCCAATCTGCCCCACCAACACACACATTCATGCTAAGCAATATAGGTGAAGTGTCTTGCCTAAGGACACAGCAACAGTATGTGTTAGTGCCACTGCTGCAGCACTCTGGCACCCAGTATTCCCAGTAGTGTTACTAAACAATGCGATCATAGACTGTATAAAAGAAGTGGATTAAGCGAGTGTGACGTCACCATGGCGTTCAGCATCGCTCAAATGAAGGCTCGTGATGATAATGGTTACAGGAGCGAATCTGGAGCAAGGCTTTATGTTTTGAACAGGATTTTTCTGATAGACAAAATAGCGAAAAAAAAAAAAAATCTGGATAATTTAGAGCGGGTTAATATGAACATTTTAAGACCAAAATGACAAGGCTCACTGCAGCAGGTACAGAGAGAGGAGCCACAAGATCCTAAAGTAAGTCAATTGGAGCCAGAGTCAGAAAGAGCTGGAAGAACCTCCTGGCGAACTTCCTATTTGGGACGCGGTTATGTCCACTCATATATACGGTCTATGGATGCGATACTAGCACGGAAATCAGATGGAGGGCAGGAAGTGAACTGACTGGAGGAAAATGCCGATGTGTTGTGTCGTTTACGGCTGTGCCTGAGAAGGAAAAACGATTTTTTTAGAGTACCGAATATAATCGTCCACAAAGGTCAGAAATGGGAAAAGCTGACAGAACAAAAAGTGGATTATAAACCTGTTTGCGGTCAGGAGGAGCAGAATTTTCTAATGCTCGTGTCTGCAGTGAACACTTCGTCAAAGGTTTGTTACAAAGCTAAATTGTTTTTTTTGTGGTTTACCTAAACATAAACAAATCATTAACGACTAACGGCTAACGACGTTTGTTGACATTAGTTCAGATAGAGGTTACTGCCGATACACTGCAGTTTTTTCCATAACAGTTTATGCACATAAAATAAGAGAAACACTCACCCCGGCGAAGACCAAACGATAATCATCATTTAGGCATTTTGCACCAAGGTTGAGGACCCATCCACTGACAAAAAAAGTTATATGCCTCCAAACTTTTGTACGCCTTCTGTTGTCTGGTGTAGAAGGATGTCTGAAGAGCTAAATAGTTCGTGATATCCTCTGCCTCGATTGTTCGACAAATCTTTTACTTCGGTTGAAAATTCTCTCATTTTCAATAAGATCGGGGTCACGCCCAATATATTTGTCGACTAACTGCTCGTACTTTTGCCTTGCTACTCTAAATCCTTACAATAAGAACTCTTCTCCATATCTGTGTTCTCCAGAGCCGTGTTTGTCGTGTTTGTCTTCACTTCCTGCCCTCCACCACATCATCGTGATCACGTGACTGAAACCCTCCTATTCCGATTCCGATACCACTATGATAATAAAAACTCTTCCTTTAGATAATAAATGTGATTATCAACATTAAATCATAGTACTTTCTTTTTACCATGTGGTCTTACATCTGTGTAATTCCTCAGTGGTCCAAGTAGGTTCCATAGTGGTCCATGGGGGTATACTAGTCTGTGTGCTCTTAAACTTGTTCTGATACAGCTCAATATTCTAACATTCTAAAGCTATTCAGGAATGGTTCATATCTGTCCTGTTCTGTCCTGTATCTAGTTTCGATACTAGTTTTAGTATTGATAAGTGTCTGATTTTCGATACTTTTGATAACCCAGCAGTCCCCATCCAAGCACTAACCAGGCCCGCTCCTGCTTAGCCTCCGAGACTTGACGAGATCAGGCTTTGACAAACAGCTCTGGTCCCGATAAGCAGGTATTTGGCAGCGGTAATGCCCCTCACACACTGGCGTTGGCGGTGGCAGCGTTGTAACCGTTCTTGAGAAGAGAAACCAAAGACCCTTCCCTGAGCTGCGAGGACGTTTTAATCTGAGCGCCGACACAAAATCAATGCTTGTGTTTGTTTGTGTGAAAAGGTGCAGAACATGTCCCAGTCCATCGAGGTACTGAACCTTCGCACGCAGAGGGACTTTCAGTACATTATGAAGATGGAGAGTCAAATCAAAGGTCTGAGGTCAAAGTTCAGGCAGATCGAGACCGAGAAGAAGACGCCTGTCAACAGGAACTTTCAGGTACGTTTGGTTTCTTAGAGATTTGGGGTCTTTTTAGCAACATTTGAGATTTTTCACTCCATAAATGCAAAAAATATATATAGTAATTCTATCTAGCTGATCATAAAGGCAATAAACAGCAAAGATACATAATAAAAAACATAAGCTTAAAATAAACCATGTAGATCAGTTAAAGGTGCATTGCGTAACTTTCCAGACCAAGTTACAGTTCAGCTCTGTGGAGAGGAAACCTGCTCACTGTCAGAATGCCTGTTTTTCAAGGTGTTTTGGAGCTATAGACCCACGTGTAATTGAATAAATGTTAGGTAGAGCTGTTTAAGTTACATTTACACTGAAATTAATCACTGTATCGGAAACGATTTGCGTCCAGACACATCATTTCTGTGTCCGCAAGCCTTCCCTATCCACACAACTTTGTGCATGTTTGTTTACGGTTTTACAGAAGCGAAACTTGAAACCACATGGCTAATTTGCATAAACTAAGAGCTCAAAAAAAAGCTTGCTCCTTGTGCGTTGATGCAGTTCAGCTCCTGTTAGACTAAAGGACACGACTTAGTGGAATATATGTTCTTTCTGTGACAGAGGGGTGTTCTGCTAACCTGTGTCTGAAGTTGCAGCAGTCGATTTTGAGCCAAGAAAGACTGCAAGCGTGAAAAAAGTCTTTTTGTGGATCGTGGACTAACAAGTAGTTCTTGCTACACTGTTTCCCATTTGTCTATAGTTTGTTTCAACTGTTTTCTGCCTATAGCGTTCACAGGACCGATGTCACGAACCCAGCAAATCAGGAAGGTGCAAGTCACAGTGACATATTACAATAAGGACGGCAACTAGAGCTCCTACGTCACTGTATCAACATTTTCAGGTGTCCACATAGTGCTGGATCAGATCTGTACTCAGATGAATTCGTGGGAGCTGGTGGCACCAGATTGTTCCATTTCTGGAGCTGTTTTCCATCAGATTAGTGTAGACAAACACTGCATCCAGCAATGAAAATGACTCAAATATGTACTAGTGTGGATGGGGCCTTAATGTCATACTGTGGAACATTCTAAGCAGAGCAATGGCATATCCATAGAAACAAGCAGGTGATGGACCACCAACCAAAAGTTAAGCAGTTTGTTCGATTTTTTTCTACAGATTGAACTATGTCCAATTGTATCTATTACTTTTGTCATTAGTGTTTGTACAGCTCAAAATAACCTTAAAAAATCTATACCTTGGTCTGGTAGTGTCACCTGCTTTTCTCCATTGAGACAAACAAGATTAAAGCCATGCTGTGGGACATTCCAGGCAAAGCATGTCAACTACAGAAAGACGTTTTATTATTGCAGAATTTCTACACTAGTTTTAGCTTGTTTTAGGAGCAGAATGTTCTCTATTTTTAAGCTGTTTCTTGCATCATGAATGGATTAAACTGTCTGTCTGGCTATATTCACTCTTCTGTCTGGAGTGAAACATTTATAACTCCTTGTATTTTTTCACCCTGTGCCCTTGTGTTTTTATCCAGGAGCTTAAGGGTAAGATGGAGTCTCTGCAGCCTCTGATCCCGGTGCTGGAGCAGTACAAGACGGACACTAAACTCATCGCTCAGTTTAAAGAGGAGATCAGGAACCTTTCTGGGGTCCTGATGGGGATCCAGGAGGAGATGGGCGCCTACGACTATGAGGAGCTGCAGCAGAGAGTTCTGAGTCTGGAGAACCGACTGCGCAACTGTATGAGTAAACTCAGTAAGTAACACAAGAAGGAATCGCAATTGAATTACCAGAACGATGTATGATTTTTTTTTCCCCCCATGTATTTGCCTTGGCCCAGTACAGATATTTTGTGTAAGCTGCTCTTGGGGTTACAAGGCTATCTGCATCTAAATTATAAAGCGTTTTATTTTCCGATAATCAGGAAGTGAGTTTACAGACTCAGGGTGAATAATTAGGATGCTGGGAATGCATAAGGTAAGTGAGGAATACATTTGGACCACTGCAAACTGTTTAAAAGTAATTAGTTCTGTTTTTCACAAATCAGATACAGCAGATTTAAAGCTACAATCTTAACTTTTCTAGTGGAAAATACAAATCTCGAAGTACGATATTTATTGCGATATTTTGGAGAGGCTTATATAATTTCAGATGAGACACTTTTTTGCTTGTAAAATACCTTGACAAGATTTTGGCATGAATTATTTCCATCATAATCCCAAGAATTCAAGTCAAAAACATATTTCTTCATGTTGTCTGCACTGAAATGAATCATGGGATATGTAGTTCCTGATGTTTAGAAGCTATAGCTACTATAAAACCACCCATTTAAGCAAAGAAACTTTCGATATATAGTGAGAAAATACCCTACCTGCTTGTAGAGATGGGCAATATTAACAAAACTGGCAAAACTCTATAATGATATTCAGACTTTATTTTTCAAAATGCATCAGGAATGTGCTAAAATGTGCCAGTGAATGTCTCTGTTAAGGTTCAAGTGTTGAACAAAACAAGAACGGGTCTTAAAATGAATGACAAAAATGCAGAAATATGACTGGAATTGCCAATCTCTGCTGAACAAAAGTTAAAACTTGTTAACTTGAAAACTCATTTAATGACATCAAAAGGTGGAACAGAGCATTTTGAGCTTTGGAGATGTAGCCAGACTAATAATAAATGATTACTTAAGCGTGTGAAAAAAAAAAAAAAAACCTCCAAGTATATTTTTTTGAAAAGCTAACAACATTATAACCAGTGTTGGGGAGTAACAGATTACATGTACCAGCGTTACGTAATCAGAGTACAAATTATGAGTAACTGTATTCGGTTACAGTTACTGTTACTTTGTTGAAATAATTGGATTATACTACGATGTTTTCCTGTTTTCACATTTTGGGCTACATCCCTTTTTTTTTTTTTTTTTTTCGGTAATTCTACTCATTGCCGGAAACCCAACAGAGCACATGTAAAAAACGCATTTGTGTCCTCGAAATTCAGACATCACTTTGTATTTAAAGAAGAGAGGGACGGGCGTGTGGTGGGCGTGATACACCTACGTGAGATATTTAAAAAAATATACCGCGCTTCCTCCTGTGCGCCTCTAAACCAGAACTAAAACCAGGATTAAAACCAGGACTAAACCAGTCCTGGACTAAACTAGGACTAAACCAGGACTAAACCAGGACTAAACCAGGATTAAACCAGGACTAAACCAGGTCTAAACCAGGTCTAAACTAGGACTAACCCAGGTCTAAACCAGGTCTAACCAGGTCTAAACCACTAAACCAGGAACTAAACAGGACAGACTAAACCAGGACTAAACCAGGACTAAACCAGGGACTAGGACTACAGGACAGGTCTAAACCAGGACTAAACCGACTAAACAGGACTAAACTAGGTCTAACCCAGGTCTAAACCAGGTCTAAACCAGGACTACAGGACTAAACCAGGACTAAACCAGGACTAAAAGGACTAAACTAAACCAGGTCTAAACTGATAAACCAGTCTAAACCAGGTCTAAACCAGGTCTAAACCAGGACTAAACCAGGACTAAACCAGGACTAAACCAGGACTAAACTAGGACTAAACCAGGTCTAAACCAGGTCTAAACCAGGACTAACCCAGGACTAAACTAGGACTAACCCAGGTCTAAACCAGGTCTAACCCAGGTCTAAACCAGGTCTAAACCAGGACTAAACCAGGACTAAAGCAGGACTAATGCAAGACTAAACCAGGACTAAACCAGGTCTAAACTAGGATGAAACCAGACTAAACCAGAATTAAACAAGGACTAAACTAGGACTAAACCAGGTCTAAACCAGGATTAAACCAGGATTAAACCAGGACTAAACTAGGACTAAACCAGGTCTAAACAATATGACACTTAACAGTAGGGTGGACATAATTGAAGGCAGCAGTGATCTCATATGGAAATCATTTCTCTATCAATAATATTTTTTATATGTTTAAGTAAAGTCTGGGCTTTTTATTGTCTTTTAGCAGACTAAACAAAACATCCTAGTCTTTGCTTCTCTACACCAAACAATTACCTGTTCATGGAGACTTTGGCTCAACAGACAATTTGAAGAGAACAAACACGATTTTTCAGGATGCGGTCGCTACATTCATGTAGTTTTAAAAAGCATGACAATATCAAGTAATCCAAAGTATTTCGATTACTTTACTCACCTTAAGTAATTTAATGGATTACGTTGCAAACTACATTTTGGGGTATGTAATCTGTAATCTGTAGGGGATTACATTTTAAAAGTAACCTTCCCAACACTGATTATAACATTGCGTAAAGATCACAAGAATCCATTTTGTGTAATATAAGGCATTTTAAACTGCTCATGCACAGTAATTCGACGTTTTATATGTATTTTCTAAAAGGTACATCTAAATTATTAATAGTTTCAGTTTAGTACTAGTTACAGACAGAATAGGCGATATCAGAATAGTTCAACTTTATTGTCCCTGTACGGAAATTTGTCCTCTGCATTTGACCCTCCCTTCGATTCTTCTGGGACAACCTGTCAGGAGCAGCGGGCGCCCGGGGACCCATCTCCACATCCCGAGTTTAGATCATCTTCCCATTTAGCGTGTACGGCGCATAATAATTCAAATATCAAAAACGCACTTTAGTTCACCCCGCGTATTAACGTTTGCTGCCTAAAGTCATCACATTTCACTCGCCGAAATGAATGTATCTATTTCTGTTCGCCGGAGCAGATTTCCTCCGTCAAAATCCACCCAGCACCCAAAGCCCTAATTTCCCATCTGACGGTTTATCAATACAGACGTAGCTTGTCAAAGTGTCAACATAAAGACTAACATGTGCATACTAATGGCGTCAGAATAACAGCCAGTTTGATCCCGTAGCCTCCATTACGTTCAGGCAATGATTGATTAAGTGAAAGCCAGTTAAATACTCAATAGGGAAGTTTTGGAGTGTGGGTGAGAGTGATAGGAAGCTGATGTCAGGTGCAATTAAAATGTCGAATAAGATAAATTAGGCGCTGTTCGAGTGTGTAAAATATTAAACGGTGCGTGAGAAATGCGTATTGGTAATTGACACCTGGAAATGTGAACAGCTTGTTGGACGAACTGGTATTTATAGGTAACTTGTTTTTGTGTCTGAGATAATAGAGGAGATTTGGTGCTTTTCCTGCAGTGGCATCGCGCTGGGGGGTGCCGCATAGACGTCTGTGGTGAAATGCTCAGCCAAATAAGGCTTTAAATGGTTTGAAAATGCATAATGGATTTAAAGGTTTGTTGAGAAACTTCGAGTGGAAGGTCCGTGAAACAACGAAAAACATGCACTTAGAACTTTTTGAAGGACTTTGGGGAAATAAATTGGGCTATTTTTTTTTTTTTGTTTAAATTGCATCGTTTTAAAGTATGTCTTGTTCACTGATCCAAACTATATTAGGTTTTGTAGAAGAAAAATAAATCAAATCATAAGTTGACAGATAAATATTATGAAAAGCAAATATGTTTTTTGTCCAGCCCGAGTTTGACAGAAGCTGTGTTGTGTTCTCAGCGTGTGGTAAACTGATGAAGATCACGGGGCCGCTCACAGTGAAGACGTCTGGGACTCGATTCGGGGCCTGGATGACAGATCCTCTCGCCTCACCCAAAAACAACAGAGTAAGATGAGTTTATTATATTTACCAAATTCGTGTATCATTTGTTCATTCGTTTTACAAAATAAAATCAAAAATAAGAAAACGAAAAAATGATTTGTCATTATTTGTCTCCAAAACCAAAATGAAAAAAACGGATAATGAATCGTTTTTTCAGTTTCCGATTTTGTGTTTAAATGAATAATGAAAAAAACGGATAACGACTTTTGAGCGGCATACGCACTGGACCAGGACTAAACCAGCACTAAACCAGGTCTAAACCAGAACTGAACCAGGACTAAACCGGTCTCAGTCCTGGTTTCAATCCCAGCCTCAATCCTAGTCTTAGTCCCGGTCTCGGTCCCGGTCTGGTCCTGGTCTCAGTTCCGGTCTCAGTGCATTCACAGTTTAAGTCACGGAAACGAGAAACAGACGTTATCTGTTTTTTTCCATTATTCATTTAAACACAAAATCAAAAACTGAAGAAAGGAATCGTTATCCATTTTTTCATTTTGGCTTTGGAAACACATAATGAAGAAAATTGTTGTTTTTCATTTTCTTATTTTTGGTTTTATTTTGAAAAAAGAATGAACAAATGACACACGGATGTTACCAAACTGTCTGGCAAATATAAGGGAAGTATTCAGAAAGTCAAATTTCTCCTGTTGATATTGGAGAAAAGATTGAATGTGCCAATACCAATAGGAATTTTTACTTGAGGAAAGAGGAACTAAACACTAAATCAACTTTTTTCACTTTTATTTACATACATTACACAAACTAGGTAAATTTGCAGCTTTTTGGTCAGTTTAAGGTTGTGCTGGCTTCAGTGGCCTCTGTAATTTCAAGTAGTTGGTGACATCACACAAAGCAGTCCTGATTACCTCTCGATCCCGTCCCTTCTCTCCACTCACTCTCTTCCTTCCTTCCTTTTCACTAGACACAAAATTGCCAAAGTGTAATTATATTTTTTAAAAGATAAAACCAAACATTAAAAAAAAAATGTCTGTCTTTCTACATAATTTTATCAACAAAAAGACAGAACAAAATCCTTCTTTTATCCCTAAATCAAATATAATAACCATGTTTCTGTGTCTCTCTCCTCAGGTGTGGTACATGGACAGCTACACCAACAACAAAATCGTCAGAGAGTTCAAATCCATTTCCGATTTCGTGGCCAGCGTCGAGTCTCGAACCTACATCCTCCCGTTCAAATGGGCCGGGACCAACCACGTGGTGTACAACGGCTCCCTCTACTACAACAAAATGCAAAGTAACATTTTAGTGCGCTACAGCTTCGAAACCGGGCGGGTAGTTACGCAGAGAGCGCTGGAATCCGCCGGGTTCCACAACGTCTATCCTTACACGTGGGGTGGGTTTACCGATATCGACCTAATGGCGGATGAGATCGGATTATGGGTAGTTTACGCGACCAATCAGAACGCAGGAAATATCGTCATCAGTCAAATCAACCCGGACACGCTCCAGATCCTTCAAACCTGGAATACCGAATACTCCAAAAGGAACGCGGGTGAATCCTTTATGATTTGCGGGACACTGTACATAACGAATTCGCATCTTACCGGCGCAAAAGTTTACTACGCTTATTCAACTGAAACTTCCACGTACGAGTACACGGACATACCATTCCATAATCAGTATCTCCACATGTCGATGTTGGACTATAACGCAAGAGACAGGGCGCTGTACGGCTGGAACAACGGACACCAAATTCTCTTCAACGTCACGCTTTTTCACATCATAAAGACTGAAGACGATTCCTAAAAATGTGTCTCAAATCTGCCGTTGTGTCTGAATGTTAACTTGATTTTTAAAAGTGCACTGCGGAGCTTTTTGGGTGCAGGGTCCTGTTCCCAACTTTCTTGTCTCTGCCTTGTCTGGAATGTTCCACACTATAGCATTAAACAGACTTACATACTCCATGATCAATTATATATTATAAGATAGAACTTGAGCTCTGTTGCCGTGCCATCTTGCGAGTGGAGGACACTGTAAAACTAAAATCTAGCCAAGTTAAGATGACGTGAATAAAGAAAGTTTTATCACAAATTTAGTAAATTTCACTTGACAAGTCAAATAATCTATCAGCGGAGACTTTTTGTACTTAAAATATGAAATTACATCTTGTTACACTCAGAAAAACACACTTATTCCATTAGTAGATAATGTTACTTGACAAGTAAAATGTTCTTGATTTGTCATTTTAGACTTTAGACATTTATTTTAACTTCCTTCCTGCTTTTTGAAGTGCAAGAGCAACATTTCGAATTCTGAAAAAAAAAAAAAAAAAAAACAGAAAATTCATTGACTGAAGTGTTTAAATGGACATCTAGTGGTATATTTGTGGTCCTGATAATGCAGGGAACTCTAACGGTCTCTCCTTGTGGACATTTTTTCTCAAAATTAAATAAAAGAAATCACCCTAAAATTCTGCACTGGTCTATATTTTAAGCAGAATGAAACTATATGTCAATACACCACATGGATCATATACTACTTACTACTACTACTACTATTACAACTACTACTACTAATAATACATGTTTATTTATGTAACATTTGGTTTACAAAGTGCTCTACAAGCAGCAAAGAACAATACAAAAAGCATAAAAATAGCATACAATCCAATAAATTATAATAAATAAATAAATAAAAAGAAATAGGAAAATAAATAAATAAGGAAAAAAGGAAGGCCAACTGATAAAAATGTCTTAAGAAGTGATTTAAAAGATGATACTGCTGGTGCGAGTCTTATCTCCTCAGGCAGGTCGTTCCAAAGCTGAGACGCCCGGACTGAAAAGGCTCCGTCAGCCTTCGTCCGGAGAGCCTGGACTTTGGAGGATCTGAGGCTGCGGGAGGCTCGGACGGGGTTAAAAGTTCTGAAATGTAACTTGGTGCTCAAAAAATGAACCGAAAAATCTTTAAAATCAATTCTAAAACACACAGGCGGCAGTGAAGGGAAGTAAAACAGAGGTAATGAGTTGATGTCTGTTAAAACCAACCTTCCCTCCTATTACTATAAAAGAATAATTTTTTACCTAAAATGAAAAATAGTTTTCAGTAATTGTTCACATTCAAAAATTCAACTTATCAAACTATTAAAGGGAAAATGGAAAAGTCCAGCTCCCTTTTAGTTTGTCTCTTGAGTCTTCACTTACAACATGTCTGCTGAAACTGGACATTTTTTATTATAGGTTACCATGGTGATAATCACTACTTCTTTATTTATGTCTCATCAGGCCAAATTACAGGTTTTGCGAGCCCAATGAGTGTTTTTTTTTTTTTCTCAAGGTGCTATAGAGCTGCAGAAACATGCAAGTGAATAGGATACATTGTAAGATACATGTTAAAGCCATATTGTGGAACATTTCAGGCAAAGGATTACAATTAATCTACACAAGCAGGAGATGGATCCACTAGAAAAGTTACACAATGCACCTTTAAGATGTTTGTTATTTGTACATAAATGTGCTCTTTATGTAATTGTTCGCTGACACTGAGCCACCTACAGTCTCAATTATTTCAAATAGTTGGGGGTTTGTGTAAAAATGTAAATAAAATCAAAGTATATATTATTTTATTTTACAATTCGTGCTTTATTCGCAGTGATGACGATATTGCAGTGTACTCTTTGTGCCTGTCCAAAGCCTGGATAAAGATGAGGGAAAAGCGTGTCTGTGGCGTTCAAGCGATTCTCCAGAAAGACTCACAAATCAAACTTAGCTCCGTGTGGCTGGGAGGTGACAGGATTAACCACTGTGCCACCGCGATGTAATCAAGAGTTGCGTTTTTTTGGTTGTTTTCTCTGAGGCAAATATTCATCAGTGAAGTGAAGTATTGCCAATGGGCACAATGGAAGTATGTGCTTGGTTGGGATTCAAACCTGCCATATGGTTGGATGGGATGAACACTTCACAAAACATCACAAAACATGATGGAAGTTGGACTAAAATATCTAAACAGTTTAGCATTCGTAAAGGTACAGTGTAACTTATCTGGTGCGGGTTGTTTCGCCTGGAATGTTCCACAGTATGGCATTAAACGCATCTATCTTGCATTCATTCAGTTTGGTGTTTTACTGCTTAAAAATACATGCATTTTTACTCGTGCCATCGCAATACTAAAATTTCAAACTTCATTTCAATACTAAGGAATAGAGTCGATACTCGATACCGATTACGATACAAGAATGAAGATGAAAAATGCTACTTTTTAAGAATTCAACACAAAATAATTGTACTTTCTATGTTGCCATGACTTCTTGTATTTGTTTGTCAAAATTCATACTAAAACTGTTCAGGAAAGCCCAAATTTTGTCCAGTTAGTGTGATTTTTACAGTATCGATATTTGCTCAAATGAGTAAGCATTTTCGAATCTAGTTTTATTTTTTTGGACTATAAGTTGCACCGGACTATAAGTCACACTTTTTGGGGGAAATTTGTTTTAGAAAATCTGAGACCAGGAACCGACATTTCATATTGAAAGGCAAGTTATAGTAACAACAATAGAACAGAGAACAACAGACTGTTAACGTCACATATGAACAGTTCTTCAGATAAATATAGCATAAACAACAGAACAGAACAAGTTCACCAAACTCTCCATCTCACTCCAAATCACTAAATCCATTGAATTCTTCATCCTTTGTGTCACTTCTGAGCAACTCTGCGACCACCAGAGGTAAACGAAGCTTCCTCTTCTGTGTAGCTGTCGTCAGACTCAGTTCCATTTAGAATTATTCCAGCCTTTCTGAATCCTGACAGGATTGTTTCAGTGTCATTGAAGTCCAGGCTTTGTTGATCCATCCAGTGACTTCCAGCAAAGTTGCATGGCGCACTCTCCCGGTGTCACAAGTTTCTCGCTCACTCCAAATTTTCTTTCTGCTGCTTGATTATCGTTTTCGGTTACATATTTTACTACTTGCAGCAGGACAACAGCTTTTTCTGCAGGGGAAGTGCAAAGTGACAGTGGTACAGGAGTAATAGGAGCAGCAGATACTGACACACAAGCCTAGAGCCTCTTGCGGCTGTCAGTGTGAAAACTTTAATATATAAGTCGCACCAGAGTATAAGTCACAAGAAACACCCAAACCACGAAAAAAAAGTGCAACTTATAGTCCAAAAAATACGGTACTTTTGAAAGGTCTAATTATTATACGATGGGTCACCTCTCCACAGATCTGACCTTGTGGTGTCACCTGCTTGCCTACTTAGAGAAAGATAAGTTTAAAGCTATATTGTGGAACATTCTAGGCAAAGCAATTTATCTCCTTGGAGACAAACGCAACAGATAAGTTACATGGTACTTTCAAGCATGTTAAACATCGACAAGGGCACTAGTAAGTTGGCATACCCTCCACCAGAAAAGTTACACAGCGCAGCTTTAATTTAGCTTAAATAGTTGAATCTCATTTTAGCACTTTACAACTGTCCCAAAAAAGTCAATTTTGTGGCTTATTTCTAAATGTCTTCAGATTAGTTGTCAGGTTTCATATTATTTCTTATTACAAAAACTGTCTATAGCTCATTCTCATTCAGCGTGTGTTCTCGAACTGTTCTTTTTGTTCCTTTTCTCTATTTTTCATAATGTCCCCGTAATTTATTCCTACTTTTCATTTTGCTTTTTCATTTTAAAACTTATTAGCACTCGACCTTGCGCGAGATAATGGCAAAAGTGATGGACCATTTTGTACCTGTATGATAATTACAAGTGGATTTTTGTGTTTCGGGACAATTTTGTGAAAGTATTTAGAATTTCAGAGTACATAAAAAATTAATTTGAGAACATTGTGAAACCACGTTGTTTGCCTTATCGGGTGGAGTCATTTATTTTAACCAAAGCTGTGCATGAATGTTTGTTAATAGCATTTTTACATTCTAACTGTACATTTGTATTTTGCACTGATTATTTATGTATTTATTTGTTCAGTGTGGTGGTGTTCAAGGAAATAGTCTGTGTGTGTACAGATATCGGTGCATTAAACGTTGTTGTAAATAGGTCATTCTGTAAATATCATATTAAATAAAATATTGTTTTCAGTAAAATGTGTGTGTTGTGTGTTTAAACGGCACATTCAGGATAAGTAAAGGTGCAATTCTAATTTCCTGAACAGCGTGTTTTAGTTACAATTAAAAAAAAAAATCATTGTCCCAAAATAGTTGTAGAAGTAAACAGAAGAGAAAGGATTAAAAAATAAAAAATGTGTCCTTGGGCAAGACACTTAACCTACCTCGACCCCAGTGTCTGTGTGAACGTGTGTGAAAGGGTGAGTGGTTCCTTGTTGTAAACGCTTTGAGTGCCTTGAAAGTGGAAAAGCGCTGTACAAAAATATGATGATTTAAAATTTACGATACCAGAATGAAGATGAAAAATGCCACTTTTTAAGAATCTAATTTTCAACACAAAAAAAATTGTACTTTCAGTGTTACCATGAGGTCAAATTCATATAAAACCTGTTCAGGAAAGCCCAAGTTTTGTCCGGTTTTGTCCAGTTAATTAGACTATTATAAGTACATTAAGATTAAGTAAAGGTGCAGTTCCAATTTTCTGAACAGCTAGGTTTAAGATACAATAAAAAAAAAAAAATCATTGTCCCAAAAGAGTAGTAAACAGAAGAGAAAAGGACTGACAAATTATAAATGGTTTACAGATACAGATGGCATGTGTGCTTCTTCTATGCTCTTAAATCACAGACTTACAAAATGAGTTTAAAGATCCATCATCCCTCCATCCATTTTCTTTCACATATCCGGGGTCACAGGGG